AGGCTGACTTTTTGCACCAATGGCAGCATCAACCATGTTAAGCCACCTAGTTCCTTTTGAGGTGGGCTTGGATTCACAAGTGGAGAGGGTGCTGGTGTGCTCAGGTCCTCCTTGCCAGCTTCCCATAGACATGTGGTTGGCCCCTGAGAGACCAGGATGCTTGGCTAGATGGGCCTTTGGCCTGATCTAGCGAGGCTCTTCTCAAAGCTGTGCTGAAGAATAACAGGAAGCGTGATTGGGAGAAAGAACCAGGGAAAACACTCCTAATGCACTCTCCAGACTGCATGTGGCTTTTTGTTTTTTCCCTTTATAGCTACAGAAGGACTTTTCTTTCCGTCTGGCCACCGGGACCCTGCGTGAGCAGGAAGGCACATGTAAAGCAAGGAAAAATCTGCCACATCCCTGTAGGCATTCGCTTCTTAGAACATCCTCTTGCTCACAGAAGACCACAAGGCTGCGAGTTCGCAGGAACGGCTGCATATGCATGATGCAGGCATTGTGCTCAAAGTTATGGCCACCCAGGTTGAATGGACAGGCAGTCTCCAAAAACACTGTTGCACAGATATAAACAGAAAAGCAGACTTGACACAGACACCCTGCAACCCATGACACTGTCATTCAGGACTCCTCGTAAAGATGCCAAGCGCAGTGTACACTCACACATGAATACACATTGCTTGACTCCTCGTCACTCGATGACTCCGAGATGAACATGAGAATGGACCCCACTGACAAGTGTCATTATTTGAGGTGTCAGCTATTGGCGGTATTTGATCTTTGATGACCCACTCGCACATGAAAAGCACTCACTGGGTGTTCCAGTCAAGTAAGAGATAATGCTGTATTGTCATTGGTGTAAAAAAAAGAAAAAAAAAGGCCTTGACAGGATACATAAAACAATGAATGACAAGGAGAACAGGTTCCGTTAAACATGTGGCTGTCTGTCCTTTCCTTTGATTTTGCCAGCATGGGATCCACATGGGGTTTGCCAGGCATGAACACACCACAATAGATGGGCTGAATTTGGCTTAGTTGGCCACAAGTTGTGCATTCATGAGTTTCAAAAGAGGTATGGCAAATAATAATATGCAGCCACCAAATCTACATCTATATATTGAATCTACATAGATTTAAAAACTACATGAATCTCTAGGTCTACGGAGAAACAATTAAGAATGTTTCAATTTATTCTGGAAAACATGTCCATGTTTTAAGTCACCTTACTTTATGCAACCATCTCTCTCTCTCTCTCTCTTCTCTCTCTTCTCTCTCTCTCTCTCGTGTGTGTGTGGTGTGTGTGTGTGTGTGAGAAGAGAGAGAGAGCTCTCTCTCTCTCTCTCTCTCTCGTGTGTGTGGTGTGTGTGTGTGTGTGAGAGAGAGAGAGAGAGAGATGGAACAGAGCCACCAAAAGGGAAGGAGAATGAAAAGAGGAAGGAAAGCCTCATGCAGAGGAAGCAGAACACCATGAGAGATAGCTCAAGATACTCTTAAGAGGAAGTATCACAAAACACAAGATTTTTAAAAAGAAAATACTGTCCCTTGTGAAAGTTTTAGTTCATGCTAAAATGTTATCTGCTTTTGGAATTACTTGTTGGCAAACAAAAGTGCCAGACTCTGAATTTTTAGTTGCTTGTGTTTTGAATGCTCTTTGATTTTGCCCCAAAACAGTTGTGAATACCCGTGAAAATGTTATAGATGCACCCCCTTTTAACTATTTAAAAACCGTAAGACAAAGTGATACAAAAGAAAGATTTACGTGCAAGTTAATTCCTGCCCTCCAGAGTTCTTTGTGTGCTACGATGTGCACATGGAGCCCCTTCAGGAATGGGATCCTTTCTAAGGGCTTTTCTTATGTTTTTATGAGGTCCCCATGAAGGGCCAAACTTGGTTTGCAAAGGTGCATCTCCTTCTATTGAAATGCCCAGGATATCTTCTGTGAGCAGTGGGAAATCCTGAGTCCCTTTGCATTTGCTGGATATGGAGCAATTATGTTGATCCCTCCCCTCAAAACTTGTATGCTGGTTGGGGATCAGTCCATCCATTATTTTAATCAGGCTGCCTGACTTGAAAATGTTCCAGAAATCTGACTGGAATTTGTTTGCTGGTTGAAATGTGTAAGCGTTCACTCTATGGCATCTTCCTAGGGCTGCCATATGTCCAGATTTTCTCAGACATTACTGGGATTTCAAAGGCAGAATTGACGTTGGGGGGGGGGATATCCAAAAGGAGGCGCTTTATCCTGAATCTTAGGCAACCCTACTTCTTCATGGATAACATGAGAAAACATGTGTGTGTGTGTTTGTGTGTGCGCTTTAAATGGAATTTCCTCTTTTAATCCACCAGCTGAGGATCAAATCGGCTGCTAAGATTGCACAACCTTGCGCTACACCAATATGAGCTGCACTGATTTTCTAGAATGTGGGGTGGGAGTATTCAAAGTGCAACACTGGCAGGTGGGAGGATGTTTGTGATGAACCTTTAGTCAGTCTGTAGAATACCCACCCCACCCAATTTCCCCCTAGCAGGTCCCCCCCTCTAGCGGATCAGTGTTGCATTGGTTAAAGAGGAGCAGTTGTTTAATAATGGGTGTGCATGTGTGCATGACAGAGAGGGAGGGAGGGGGAGAAAGAGGAGGGGGGGGGAGAGATGGAGAGAACATATGAAAAGCCCTGCTGGATCAGATTAAAGTCCTATTTTCATAGTGATCAACCATACTTCTCATAGCGGCCAACCAAATGCCTCTGTGAAGCCCTCCAAAAGGGTATGAGAGCCATAGGCTTCTCCTTCTCCAGATCTTCAGCAACTGGTATACTGCCTCTGACACTGGAGATAATCGGTGGCTTTCATGAGAGAGTATGGAATTAGTACTTCCACCTACGTACCTATGGTTTGCTTTAAATGTCCCTGCATAGCTTATAGGAAATTGGCTCAGCTCATGCTGTAATTTTTAACATTGGGGTCTTACTACTTTGAGACTTTGGCGCGCACGTGCGCGCGCGCACACACACACACACACACATTTCTATGACTTTTGCTTCCAAACTTTCCAAGTTCTCATGCATGGCTTCTGTTCCTTTTCCACTTTCAGATCTTGGTGATCCTGAACCTCTTCCTGCCACAGGTTGTGCCCTTGCCAGATGCTTTGAATGTAAAGGGATGTTTGATCCTATCTCTCGGTTAACAGTGCTCTCTGAATCTCCAACAAAAAGAGGCAATACCAGGTTCATAGAGTTTGGTGGAGGGGAAAGAAGTGCCCAGACCAATTTTGTCCATACTTTCAGTTTCAAAACTGTCCTGCGAATGTAAATTTTTGGAATTGCATCAAATTCAAAATGTAATTGCGATAGTCAAAGCTTTCTTTCAGCCGGAGCTCACCAGAGCTCAGCTTTGGCACCTCTCAGGTGGGTGCCATTGCCATTCTAGCAGAGCAAGGGAGAAGTTACCGGTGAGCTCCAGCACCTCTTTTTCTAAAAAAAAGGGGAAAAAAAGAGCACTGGTGATAGTCAGATCCTGGGCTACGGAATCCTGGCTTGGCCATCATTCAAATAAGATTATTGATGACTGGACTATGCCCTCAGAGTTGCATAGCGAAATTTTGAATATATATAATGATATGCAAATTAGATCTTAGTTTTAAATGTTCAGTGAAGCCCTGTAAGTTCTCCACATATCTTCGTTGAACAGACCGCTCAGTTCTGCTTATCTTTGGAGAACAGATGCTGTTGGTTCACAAAGCTCCAAAGACTTAGCTCTGAAATTCCTTAAAACATATTACAAAGTTACATAGAGCCTGACAGATCTAGCATCAGGGAGCACTATATTTATGGATGAGATACCACAATTCTGAAGTGGACTGTTTTGCTTTTGGATTTTTTTTTTTATTTGACAACTTTATGTCTCATGACATTCTCAAATCTTTCAAAAGCAAAAAGTGAAATATTTGGAGAAAAGAGAGAAGACAGCATGTGTTAGTAAGACACAGGGCTTGTCCACACTTGTTTGTCCTGGGCCTAGAAAGCACCCGAGGAAGCAGTTGTCCTGTGCTTTCGATGCTTGGATCCTTTCTAGGCAGTTTTGCTTTTACCCTACTGCTTTCCCTTAGAAAACCCCCTCTTTAGCACCAATTTGAGGGAAGCCAGCCTTAAGAGATGCACCAGCAAAATCTGCTCAGCTTACAAGCAGAAGCATTTATGTCCCACTCAATTAGGATACGTAAATGCTCAGTTGCTGCTTTTCGCTGGATATCTAAAAAACACAAAATCATCTTGCAATGATCCCTGAGTCTGAAGAAATATGCTGAATGCAAAGAGAGAAGGATCATACAAGAAACTACCTCAGAGGGCATGGCAAAGCTTATTCTCCTTGTATATTTCTGCACTAATTGATTCCACCCCCCCTTTTCTCAGATCCAGACTTGACACAAAATAGTACTCATATCTTTAATTTAGAAGCAGACCTGGGAAGTAGATTCCCAGCCTCTGGGATCAGGGTATCAAACTAGGTTTCTTTCCAGAAAATATATTCTCACACAGCTATGCCTACACCAGCAAAAAGCTGCTGGTCAGCTCCGCACTGATTACATAACTATCCCAACTATTGCAAAAGGTTGTAAATTGATGTTGGTTCCTGCTCTATATCTGGGACATTTTGCTTGATGCAGATGGACATGAGGATCTGTGCTGAGACCAACATTTATTGCTCCGCACCTGACCCACTTTTAGTGACTATGCAATGGGACAGTAAATGTGGGTGGAGGCGTGACGTGAGCGTGTCATGGACAATCATAAGACCTCCTTCTCACTAGCTGAACTGCTGCTGAACTTTTGCTCAGGTTATCAAAACGCCCTTTTGGTCATTGCCAGCCCCTGACTTCCCCCAAACAAGCGCTGGATTATGATCTCTCTCAATCTCTCTCTGTGGTAAACCACACTGATCTTCTTTAAACCGGAACCAACTATGTCAATGCAATCAAAAACTAAGACGCAGCCTGAAAGGCATCCTGATGTATAAATGATGCTTGTTATTTTAATGAGTTTTGGAAAGATTGGACAAAAATCTTTTTTTGTCAGTCTTGCTGGGATGAATGAGATCTACTGTTTTGCATTGCTGTGCAAAACTACAAGAAAGAGAGGAACCTACTTATCACAGGCCAGCAGACATTATTCTCAATATACATAATAGAAAAAGAAGTACCAGATGCCATTCTATGTAGTAGTAGTAGTAGTTGTGTTTAACTAGAGCAGACCTATGTTGCTTTTTTCTGTTGGAAAGATCTCCAAATATTATTTTCACTTGGGTGGCATGAACTTTCAGTATGAACTGAGAGCTGCCCTTAGCCATGGCTATCTGCGGACGTTGTTCTATTTTCTGCAACTCTAGAGTGAAAGCCCATTTTCTCAGTGTGGCCATCAGAGGGACAACCAAGCCAATACCAATAAAAAACTGCAGTGGGGCTGAGATCCTTAAGTGCACCTTGAAATAGTCCTCTGCAGTTCATGACAGCTAAATACAGGCAATTCACTACAGGGTATGGGAACAATAATGCAATTCTAGCTCGCGAATGAAGGCCTATCAGAATTTAGCCCTGAATAAACCAGTTTCCAGATCCTGAAAATCACATAAAGGCAAACATTTAGGGTCATTTGATATCACCCCCCCCGTCACAGTGCTCCCCATCACTTGGTAGTGAGATCAGTGTGAAAATGTGATTTTTGTGAAGGGCATGTGACAATTTCTTAGGTTTCCTGAATCTATAACAGTGTCCGAGATAGTCCAACACGTTCTGATGTCTGAAGCTGAACACTGAAGTGCTTCCCTCATGGTTGAATTGATCATCACCATCCATATAAATGATTGACAACTTGCTGCCTGACATCCTCTGCCTGATGCAGGTTGCCTCACCCTAAGGAATGAAAAGGTCAGCTGCGGTTGGTGAAAACACTCAACTCCAAGCTGATCTCACCATGGAGTGTTTGAGGGGGAAAGATCCTAGCATGGCACATGAAGAAATGATGGTTATGTGAATGCACTCTGAAAAGATCCTGCCCTTTAAGGACAGTTTTACCTGCTGTCTTCCTGATTTGGGTGAGACTGGGTGAGAACAGTGGAAGTGCTCTGTCCTCCCACCCTCCTCTCTCCAATCCCCCCATCCCTGCAGCATTCAGTCTCTTGTTTGGTCCTATTTCTATGCAAAACCTAAAAAAAGTACAAGTTTCAAAATACGTTAGCTATGCTCAGCGCACACAGAAATCTCTAAGAGATAGTTATAGGCTTTATAAGGTGGTTCCCCAGCAGGGAACATTGGCTGTGGTCTTATAGTTTAACACGCCAGCTAGGCATCAGAATCCTCATGTCCGGCTTTGTTGCTATGAGCCTTGGCACGGCGAGTCTGGATGGGAACAATGATGCGCAGTCATCGATGAAGGTCCTTGGCTGCATTCGTCTGGTCTTCAGACCAATTTATAGGAGCCGGATTTGCAGACTGAAGACTGTGTATGTAATGGTTGAAGTTGAGATGAATTCAATTTGAATCCCGCCCCTGACACAGGCTTCCTATGTGACCTGGGAAATGCATTGCCTCTTTTTATACTCCCATATGAATTTGCCCCTTTGCTCGCACCTTGGTGGCTTTGCAAGGATAATGGCAGATGAAAATGTTCTGGGGGATGCTGCATGAATGGAGACAGCAAAGGGCCGTGAGAATCAGATGGCTTTGGCCAGAGTCACCTTCCCTTCCAATGCAAACTTTCTTCCCTCCAGAATTGTTGGTTGTGATCAAGAGAAACAAGCAGTCTCCAGCAGACCTAAGCTTCACAAGTCCTTCCAAGCTCCCCCTCACTTGGACTGTGCCTTGCTGCTTTCAGCCCTGACTTGTAGCACCACCTGCTGCCCGAGCTTTGAGTGCAACAACAAAAGAACAACTCTCAAACCAGGGACAAACAGGCTGCTATTTTAGGGTGGGATTCAATCACATACTGGCAAATTCAGGTTGCACAATTCTAGTCAACTGGATTCGCTCCCCCCCCCCATAAGTGACAGGAAAGTGCACTGGTGCATGTAACATTTGCTTTGTGATGTTACAACGTTGTCTAACCTCCCTGCGAACAAATCAGAATGAATAAATTGCCAGCGGCATCTAATCTCCCTGGAAACAAATTAGGAAGGACAAATGTTCAAGAAACAAGTCTGGAAGCACCCTTAAAGTGCTTGAACACTCATTCCTTCTGGGGTAATAGGAATCTGCAACCAGGAATGTTTGCCTCGCCAAATTAGTCTAAAACAGTTCTGAGGAAAAACAAAGCTGCAGATACTAGGGAGGATTTGCAAACCATAATATATCATATCCTTAGATGTTTCAAAAAACAAGGCAGCCCTTCACTCCTTGGGCAAGATCTTACCACGTTATCCCCATTAAAAACATCATTCTCCAGAAAAGTTTTAGCATTGGCAGCTTTGGGTTTCCCCTTTGTAGCCTATATTTTTTCCGTTCATGGTTAATTTCAAAGGGAGTCTGCCAATATAATCGGCTCTGGTCTGTAGCCTTGGTCTAACCTCAGCCATGTACACTTCAGACCAACTTGGCTAGACTGTGCACTGTCTCCTACCTTCTGAGCTAAACACTACTGGCAAGGGAACTTGTTTTAAGGTTTCCCCTCCTGTGATATAGTGATTCTCTGTGGGCCACTTATAGAGGGAGATTCTTCTCAGGGGGAAGGACTCCACGAAAGGCCACCTAACCCAAAAGCCATATACAGCTTTCAAGGAGCCAGTCACAAAAGCAGGAAACACTTGTATAAATCGTAGCACCATCTATGCTAAATGATTAGCAGTTGGACTGGAAAGTAGTTTTATCTGAGGTGGGTTCTCTGGCCCTCATATTTTTTGGGGTCTCCAAAATCTGCTTGGGGAGCTTGATGGCACTGCTGCAAATAAGAATAGATTGAGAGACTGGGCCACTGGGACTTGTTAAGAATGGTTTTAAAAACACAGTTCTTTCATGCTTGGGAAAGAATGTATGCAATGATGGGATGGGATGGTTCGAGAAACAGAGCGCTTCAGACCTCCAAAGAGGAAACCTTTGATTTTCCCAGGCCAGTCAGTGTGATGTGCATGTGCAAAAGTGTGTTTATGCTACAGCCGTGCATTCAAGGCATTGACTGAGAAAGGTGCAACAAGGCATGAGAGATGAGGAAAGCAAAGGATGGTGAATGGTTCGAGTGTCTATCAATGTCTTTCGGTCGTTTTCCAGGACATGGCTTGCTGGCTGTTTCCAGTGCGAAGAGGATTGTACAAGGCACACTTCAATCTCCCTACCCTGGCTGGCCCCATCCCCTGTACCTAGTAAGGGCTCAGTCACACTTACCTTTCACCCTGTACTTTCTAGGCATAGGTCTGCACTTTAGAGTGCCATGTCCAAGCACTCCCCCCCCCGAAAATCTGCTCTTCAAGCACAGGCTGGAGAACTTTGTTGGTTGGTTGCCTGAACTGGCAATACAGATTTTCTGCAGATTGCCATTTGCTCTGGTTCAGAGCGGGTTTTCAGTGGTGGGAGCACTTGGACACAGCTCTTTCAAGTGTGGATTGTGCCTAGAAGCACAGCATGAAAGGAAGTCTGAATGAGCCCTCAGAAAGATTGGTGAGCGGCAATCTGCTGCTGTTGTACAGGGGTTGGTGGTTACGGGGTAGGCCCAAGGAAATGGCACACCAGGGAAAAGACAAGTCACTTCGCTTTCCCTGAACTTGATAGCCCTTGGCTCCCCCCTGGCAGTGGGCGGCGCAGGAGCAGCAGGAAGGAGCAGGCCGTGTGGCTACATCTCCTCATCCTCACTCGCCTTGCTCCAGCGGTGGCAGCAATTGGCAGTGATGCCCAGCAGGAAATTGGTGGCCACAGAAGCAATGGAGACGACAAAGCCCACAAAGGCAATGAAGAGATAGTCATCCAGTGTCAAGGTCAGGTGGCAGGCCTTGAAGCTCTCCTCCGTCAGTGAAAACAAAGGGGCTCCTTCCACTTCGGGTGGCTCCCGGCACTCCGCCAACTCAGTATCTGCAACAAGAACCAAGAGGGTCATGCCAGCACCCACAAACACAGAGCAACACCCAGAGAAGAGGGCCATTTCTCCTCCTTTCCCAACCCATGCCTCTCTGGTCTCATCAGATATTATAGGAAGCTGCCTACAGGAAGATAGGAAATTAGATCCTTGACCCATCTAGTTCCATGATGTCAAAACTGACAGGCAACAGCTCTCCAGGGTTTCGTGAGGCAGGGGACAATCATAGTCCTACGTGCAAAGAATGCAAAGCAGATGCTCTACCAATGGCTCTTCAGAACCAAGAGGCAGGTGGCAATAAATTCTCAAACATTTTCATGACAAGATAGGTTCTAGGAACACCCAGACTTCTAGCTGTAATTTGGGATGCAGGATGAATTCAGTGTGGAATTCCTGAAACAATAGGTAAATCAAAACACAGCTATCCCCAAGGTCTGTTGGGAGATTATGCACAATGAGAGGAACAACAACAACAGCCAGAAATTGTGCAAAATTCAGTCAATATATGCACACTCTCCAAGACCTACAGGAGATTATGTACATTGACCAGGAAATGTGTACAACTATCCATTCATGGAGAGATTAAATGCACATTTTCCATGAGTTCTGGTAAATGTGCACAATGAGTGGTTGTTATGCACAGTAACCTCTCAATTCACATTACCCCCTGACAGATACAAACAGCTACTTTAGTCTCTTTTTAATACCCCAGTTTCAGTGTTGTTTGCTATTCCACCCCATATGTGTGCAAGTGCCTCTTCCTCTCTACCCCTGAAGATACTCCCAGCCCCCCTTATTACTGATGCTTATTATTATGATTATTAACTGGTATTCAGAAGCATTATTGCCCCTGACAAGGGAAGTAGAACATAACTATTAGGGATTGTATCACACACCAGATTAAATTAGGTAGATGCTTTCAAGAAATGACAACTGGGCTCACCTTAACCATTCTTCAATTTTCTTTCTTCTACCCCATCACCAGTCTATGATCTCTACCCACATCTCATTCTAATTTGTAACACAGACTATAAGACAGCCTTCTGCATCTTAGTGACCTCTGTTCTGGTTGAGGATGCTAGGAAGCCATAATCCAAAACTTTCAGAGAGCACCAGGTTGGAGAAAGCTGCTGCAAGAAAACCAATTTACACCTGCAGTAGAATCACACTGTGAAGCTTTTTTTCCATGGCTTATAACATGCCAGATGGGGGAGGTGTCTGTGTCTCATTTCTGAATGCTCCCCCATCAGGAAAAAGCACAACAAAAGCAAAATCCTCCTTGCTCATAGACAACTAGAATGCCAGGGAGAAGGACTGCACACTGATATACTCCCTGATATACAATGTATCTTTGTTCAGGGAGACTACGACTGGATCTACACTGATCTAAAAAAACACTAGGAAAAACCGTTATATAGCTCTCAGTGCAATTTTCCATTGACTGCTGTACAGCTTCCCCTGGTGTCATATTTTATAACACATTTATAACATTATAACTCACCAGCGTAGATTGGTCCTACATGTGTGTATCTGGTGGGGAGTAGGGCTGGGCGATATCTGGTTTTCAGCAGCTAAATACAGCCACTCCTTGAAAGTCGAACAGAATCTGTTATGGAAGTCCGTTTGACTTCCAAATTGTTTGGAAACCAAAGCATGGCTTCTGATTGGCTGCAGGAAGGTCCTGCAGCCAATCGGAAGCCATGGAAGCCCTGTCGGACATTCGGCTTCCTAAAAAACATTCAAAAACCAGAACACTCACTTCTGAGTTTCCATCGTCCGGGGGGCCGATTTGTTAGGGAGCCAAGGTGTTTGAGATCCAAGGTATGACTGCGCTGCAATATACTGACATATTACAATGTCTGGAATGTTTCTCAGCTGCTTCTTCCTCCCCACCTTAGGGAAACCAAGATATATTGCCCAGCTCTACTGAGCAAGCCTCCATGCCTCTCTGGCTCAGGAGAGTCAGAGGGGCAGAGAGGCTTCACTGAACTGCTCAGCTGGGGGACAGGAAGTCTCCCACCCCACAATACAACTCTGGCTCGCATTAGCTGAAGTGGTGTGGGGCTTCCTCAAAGGTGCAGATAGGTGGAGCCCAAGAAGGTACTTTGTCAGAACTTTCTCAGGCTCCATCTGCCTGCCTGCGCCTTTGCTGTCTGCAGGCAATTTGTCAATCCTTGAAAAAGCCAACTGACGTTTGCTCTGATTCAGCAGCAAAGAGTCAGTTTGGACTAGCAGAACCGAGCTTTGCAGAGGGTAACCACTACCTGAATGTTAAGCACTAATGAAAACTCACTGGGAAGTTTAGACTTGCCATCTTAAGAAACTAGAAGAAGGTGCACAAGACAGATAATCTTCCTCTCTGCTTATGTTTGCTAAGAAGACATCACGACACATAAATTGGATGAAGGCACCAAATCAGAAAACCAACAGTGCATCACTGCCAAAGCTGGAGATGGATGGCATCCTTCTCCGTCATTGTCTGCTATACATCAATCACAGAGATGGCTGGGAAATGTAAATAGAATTGATGCTCCAAGGAGATGAGAATGATTGCTAAAGCAGGACTGCCTTCTTCTGGCTCCGCAAGGGCAGGATTTCCTGTCTCCAGGTCCCCTCGCTTGCAGCTCGTGAGATAAGCAAGAAGGTCAGGAAAGGACTAATGTCAGGGAGGGGAGAAAAAAATCAATGGAGAGTGGGAGAGGATGCTGATTTATGATTCCCAATGTGAGCTGGGGATCTGTCACTACAAGGACGCAGGGAGAGCAGAGCAGCGTGACGACACGTCACAAGGGCAGCTTGTACAGCACATCTCATTCCCATCTAGCTCTGACAAAATCTCGGCTTTAATGAGCAGAAAGCCTCGGTGTGCTTCTGAAAGGCCATTTGCAGCATGGTGGCAGTCACTAGGCAGCTCCACACATGGTGGCATCATTGTGTGGAAATCTGGTTGTCAGTGGCCTCCAATTATATGGTGAAGGGAGCATTGCCACTGCCAGCCTCCAGGTACCAAAGGGCTCATTCATCTGTCTCTTTGCTCCTTAAAAACTCTCTGTGCAATGGATCTAACCAGGGTGGATTTGATTTACCGTAAATCAAATCAATTTAAATCATGATTTAAATCACGAGTCAGTAAGACTTGATTTAAATCATTTTTTTTACAGAAAGACTCATCCTTGCTGGTATAATCTTAATATTTACAACCAGATGAAGGTTTCATTTTTGGAATAATAATTTTTCAGAGTAGTTTTTACAGTTATATCAAAAATTCCTGATTTGGTTATACTCTTAGTAATACACAGACCGATAATTATGAAATCATTGTGAGGTTTAATAAGTTAACTGTTTATATTTGGACAACTTTTCTGCTCAACTTTATCGGAAGGAGAAAAATCATCATTTCCTTAATAACAACTTAAACAATTTATTTAGCTAAAACAATAACATTATAGCATATGCATCCATGTTTGTTAACTGATGTGATTAAACGTTTTTTAAAGGCTTAGACTGAGTAGAAAACTATCTTCAGAAAGATTTTTCCTCCAAAAAGCATTTATTTTAAAAATCAAATTAAAAAAATAAAATAAATCCAATTTAAATAAAAAAATCTGATTTAAATTTTAAAAAATCTGATTTTAAAAAAATTATTTTTATCCCCCCTGGATCTAACCTCACAGAGGGCCAGTCAGCTGTTTCCTCTAGCCACATGGGGAGGTGATCCTCACTGTGCTCTTGGAAATCAGTGGATGTGAAGAGTCGGGTTGTGTGTGATGAGGTTCAGGCCTTTTTGTGTGTGCAGTTAGAGCTGCCACAGGACTTTTTAGCAGCTGCCATGCTGCACCTGCTTCTTTGCCCCACCTTTCTCCCATAAATAATAAAAAAGTGAGGCAGATGTGTGTGGATAAACTAGGCCCCAAACTTTATTAACATTAACAGAAGGAGACGGCAATGGGAACTGGCTGAGGCAGAGCTTCCCGGCATTTTCTGCCTGCCTCTACTCCATCTGGCGATGCCATTAGATGTCATGGGAGACTCCCCTGAGTAACAACCCCAAACCCCAGGACTCTGCATGCATGCAAGGTCCAGGGGGGGCTCTTTTCCAGCTTCCATGTCCCAAAGTCCTGAGCGGTGAAACTAGGGAATCCCTTGTCCCCTCACAGTGCTGACCAGTGACTATGTTTGTAATCCACACTTCTTAGACTGTCCTGACTCTGTGAGAGTACTTTGATGCCACATGTTACAAAGCTATCACCCAGACAGTCAGAAAAGAGTAGGAGAAAGAAAAACCCTGCTTCCCTCAGTCAAGGCTTATCCACACTTCCTCTTGCTCCTCCCATGGTGCTCTTTAATGTTCAGTTGGAGCAAAGGGGTTTTCCATGGACTGTTGTTGGTTCTGATTTAAAGCCAAGGAGAGGTTTTCCCTGGGAAAGGAGAGGGGCAATGGGGAAACTGCTCAGACCTATGCCTAGAAAGGGTGGTTCTAGTGGAAAACCATTTGGACTCATGCTTTCTAGGCATGGGACAAGCTGAAGTGTGAACAAGCCTTGTTTGTTTCAGAGGCAATTTCTGCTCAGCCCTGAAGTGGCCAGATGTTCTTACCCTGACTCATATTCTAGGAGAAGGAGAGCACCTCCCTGCTCTGCCTAATAGTTCTAGTAGAGCAATTCTGATTAGTAACTTTAACAGGCCATTTGGAAGAGAGTAGTGACCTGTTTAGTTAACCAAGTACAATCTGTCCTTTATTTGAATTTCTGTATAGCAGTTTTCGCGAACTGCAACTACAGATGCAGCAAAGTACCACAATCTAATGAATTCACACACACAAATGCTGCATGGTTGGGGAAACTTACAACTGTCTCTAAACTTTTCTTTTGCATTGCATGGTTTATAATCCCTAGGAAATGTGTAAAACAGACTGTTTCCTAGCATAGCAGGTCTAAATCAGGTAGGGAAATGCAGAATGCCTTTCTCAAGGCACAGGATTCAAATCCCATGATCCAAAAATGCCCTTCTTAGCCGCTCTGAGAGAACTGCTGCTTTTATTTCAAGCTGAGACACAGACCCAACATTTTACCCAGAGGTCCACAATGTGTTGTGTAATAGGGAACAGAATGACAGAATCCCCAAGGTGAAGCTAACAACTGGGCTGCCATGTAATTTCACCTACCTGACATGCATCGCTGGATCCTATTTCTCAACCACTTCAGAAGTGGCTCCATGGTGCAACCACACACCCAGGGATTGCCTCCAATCTGAAGAGTCACCAGGCCTGTGAGACCCTCCAGGACTTCAAGGCTGAGGAAAGACAGGCCCCCATAGCTGAGATCAAGGTCACGCAGTTGGACCAAGCCTCGGAAAGCCTGGGGGTGCACCTTCCTCAGCCAGGGATTGTGGCTCAAGTCAATGTGCACCAGGTTGTAGGCCTCTTGGAACATGTCAGCCACCACGTGAGTCAAGTTGTTGTAGCTCAAGTCCAAGTGGGAGAGGCGCTTGGATGCCAAAAAGAGTCCAGTGGGCAACTCGACCAGGGAGTTGTTCCGCAAGTCCAACACCCTCAGCTCGGAATAGCAGGTCAGGTATCCGGGAGGAATGGTAGCGATGCGGTTGTGAGCCAGGCTCAGGTTCCTGGTGTCCAACGGAAGGTCTGGCGGCACCGAAAAGAGCCGAAGCCCACTGCAATCCACAACCTGGCTGCGGCATGTGCACAGGACCGGGCAGCCGGTGACGGCACTGGCAAAGACCACCACCGCTGCCACAAGGAAAGGGCTCAGTATCATGGCAGGGCAGCAGTGGGGTGCAAGCTGCTCTCCTCCCAGCTGGACACAGTGGGCGTTCATTTTGGCAAGCTAGAGGCTACATGGCAGAGGGAAGGCCAATCAGGATGGGGAGAGCAGTTGGCAGGGATGCAGCCCAGCAAATGGGAGCCACCAATACAGAAAGCCTGCTACATTCTGACTGGGAGGATGGGAGGACATTGAACCCCTATTTGTCCTGCTCTTGAGGCACCTATGGGAGAACAATGTGCCAAAAAAGGGCTGTAAATGGGCCAGAAGCTGATGATTTCTGGTAGTTTTATTTAGCTGCCAAAAAAACTTTTTACTGTAAGAGGATGAAGAAGAGGAAAGAAATACATTTACCTGCATACATGCACATGTGACCACCTTGGTCTATGGAGATAATCTGTGTGGTTTTTACCCATGTTTGTTGAGCATTACATATCTTGAGCTTGAATTAAGAGACAATGTGTTCCTTTTTTTTTTACCTTGTGTTAGCTGGAGACATAGGCCTCTCAGAGAAGTTTTCTGTCACTCCAGAAAAAATATATAACCAGGCCCATAAATGTTGTTTCCAGTGACTCCACTTGTCGAGCATTGAAATGGTCTTCTTCTGGAGTCACTGAGGTGTCCTTTGACAGGAGCATTTATAAACAAAATGTGACCTTTGCAGGGTTCAATGGCTCCCCTTGCTTAATTTCCCATGTGCTGCTGTCCTGGTGTCCTCTTGGAAAGGTGAGGAGGAACAATGGCTGGACACAAGCCACTTAGGAGTCTGTGGTTTCTCTTCTCTGGGAAGAAGGTTGGCCGTCATTGCTCAGTTTGGAACTACCAAAGAGCCACAGAATCCCATAGCTGCACGGATTCATGGTGTCTCTGACTTTGAAGTGCTGATGTGGAAGCCATGTGTGACAATGGCTACAGGATCCCAAAGGCCAAGGGCAAGAGGTTGTGATGCTGTCCTTTAAGCCTGGTCTTCTTTCTCAGCAGGCAGCAACAAGACTCTGACTGTGCAACCTGCCAATGAAAACGCAATGAGGATCAAAGGCACGGCAACCATGGTATTGATCAGCTTGCATGCTTCCCCCTGATGCTGCTAGAACCACAGTTCCCCACCCCTTTCATATACTTCTTGTGGTTGCCTTCACTATAGTTCACCTCTTCCTTCACCTTGCTTTACAGCATCAGCCACCATGCATTTTTCACAAGCCGCAACAGCAGCCCCTCATTTCTGATCTGACATATTTCTGGGGACTCCACACAGCTTCCTCCTCTGTGCGTTTCTGATGTTTCAGCCATAGACTTTTGTGCAGAGAAGAAAAGCGGTGGGGGAGAGCTTTGGCATGGCTCATTTGGCAAAAGAGTAAATTCATGTTAAAAAAAAAAGCGAAAGCGATCAGATTAAAATACTAGATTCAACTTTGGGGAAGTCCTTACAAATCTCATCTCTGCAGCTAACTCCTACTTTTGCTCTCCCCTGGGTTTCACACAAACTGGTCATTGTCCTTCAGTCAAGATGACCCACATTCTCTTTTCCTAGTCCAGGCTCAGCTGCGGGGCACCACCCTTTCATCCACAGAGGTCTGCTGAGAGGCAACTCATAGCTCCTTCCTCCACCATTAGCTGTGGAGGAGCTTTGGGCCTCCACACAAACACACCACTTTAATTTTATTCTGTTGGGAGAACTAGGCCTGCGTTTCAGATTTCCCTGCATCCCTCACCATCCCTCTCCTTCATCCCTGAGTCTCTGCACATGACTTCCTAGAGGCTCTTCCCTAACTTGGACCACGCTTCCATTCTTGCCTCTCTCTTCCCACATCCCTCTCCTTCCAAAGCTTTCTTCCTTCTCCACTGCCATTCTCCCCTCTCTCCATCTCTTTCTGTTGTCTCCTCCTCCTCCAGCAAGAATGACCTGGATGCCCTGCAGAGCTCACATCCTATTTGCCCTCTCCCCACTCATCCTTGCCATGTCCTCTTTCTACCCATTGCCTCTTCTCCATGACACCCCATTGTCAAATGCACCCTCCATCCTCACCCGCTGGACACACCCTGCTCACACAAGGCAGGGAGTACCCAAGCCTTAGTTTTCCCACAGACACACAGCACACAGGCACCCCCTTTCATTTCTCCCCCGTCACATCATCAATTTTATTTTGTTCAAATGAGACACTTACTCTGAGCAGAGGGTGGCTGTTTTTTGGTTGGAGCTCAGCTCAGCTCTGGTGCTGCGGACTCCTGTGCTGGTTCCTTCCCATTCAACTGTGCTTCTTGCTTCCCTTCATCCTTTCTTTCATCTGCACCTCTAAAAGACAGAGATTCTGACAGTCTTCTCATTGAATTGCAGCTACTGTTGCGCTCTCTCTCTCTCTCTCTCTCTGATTTCAGCCAGGTCTTTCCCCACCTCCTCTTCCCTCCTTCTCCCTCTCCCGCCACCCCTCCTCTTTTTCCCCTTGAGGGCCAGGTACTGACGTTTCACTGTCTCTTAGCAACTGCCTCCTCATCTCTGAGCAACAGGAGAGCTGGCTGCAGACCCCACTGAGCTGATGAGGGTGGGGGGAGAGAAGAAGAAGAAGAAGAAGAATGAAGCAACAGAGGATGGAATAAAAAGCGCACCCACGGAATCCCAGAGATGGGGGGGGGCACGTATCCTGGAGGGAGTGGGAAAGCAGAATCAGGCAGACAGGGGCGGCTGGAGATCTAGGAGACAGACAGGGGCAGAAAATGAGGAGGCAAACAGGGACACACAGAGACACGGAAATTGAGACCGGGGGAATAGACTGGGAATAAACAAGATATGCCAGGGAAGCAGCTTCTCATTGCTGACTCGGATTCTTAGACTGCGAACACACCGTACATTTAAAGAACATTTTCCCCTCAAAGGATCTTGGGAACTCTCACAGAGCTACAATTCCAAGCACCCATAGGAAACTACAGTTCCCATAATTCTTTGGAGTGGGTGGGGGACTGAGCTGAGTGTCTACAGAAAGGGGGGGGCATAAATTTAAGGTCAGAAGGCAATTCCTTGCCTCTTCCTACAGATGATGGCTTTAACAAGGCCTGGAGACCAACTCTTCTCTTCTCCAACAACCTTGAGGCACCAGACATCCTGCCCAGAAGCCATATTGGCTTTCCCTTTGTGGCCTGTGGTCACCTCACAGAGCTTTTGATTAGTTATTTAACACTCTCCACATGTGTGTGTGGAGTTATTTTCCCTCCTTTCCCTGTGGGGGTTTGGCACCTATTAGGGGGACGTTTCATGTCTGTTTTCCCCATTGCCTCTTGCTGGCATCTGGTGGGAAGACAGATGGTGTAAAAACCCCAGGAGAGAGGTTGCTCTTTTCCTTTTGTGTATGGAGCTCTCCCTTGGGTAGATATTAATTGGTTTTATTTCAAGATCCCAATAGGCTCCAAAGGGACCTCCCACCTGAAACGGACTTTACAAATGCAGATCTATCCTTTGCCAGCTAAACTTCACAAAGGCACAGCGGTGGGTAAATATTGCCTCATTTCCTCCCTCAGAAGCACAGCATTTCTGCCTGTGCTAATTTAGAAACCTCACCAGGTATGACTCAGGAGAACAAAGCCTGCCAAATGTCAGAGAGCAGTCTTTCCCAACCTGGTGCCCTCCAGATGTCATTAGACTACAATTCCCATCTTCCCTAAACATTGGCTTTGCTGCCTGGAGTTGATGCAATTTGCAGTCCAGGGATGGGGAACCTGTAGCCCTTCAGATGCTGTAGGGCTCCTGTTCCTGTCAGGCCTAGCCAATGGTCAGGGATGATGGGAGTTGTAGTCCACAACCAGATTCCTCCACTCTTTGAAGTCTAAAATATCTGTAGGGCACCAGGTTGAGAGAAGGATATAATAGCGTGTTCTTGATGGTATTTGCCAGTTGTTTGGCCACCAGTGAGATTTATAGCCTGTAAAGCTACAGCCAGGGTTTAACTTAGCACTGCACAGATCTCCCAAAAGAGGCTCTCAGCCCTGAGTCTAGAGACTAGATGGCCTACATCCTCCTGCAAGGCCTCTTCAATATATTTTTCTGCCTGAGGCACAACAGCAAATGGAACCTATGCAAGTTCCAGCTCTGATAGCCACATGTGTGTGTATATATGTGTGTGTGTATGTGTGTGTGTGTGTGAGAAAGAGAGAGAGAGAGAGAAATATACACAACTTAAAAGAGAGAGCTCTTTTCAAATAGTGTGTGACCTGCTATGCCAACTTCAGCAATAGATCAGGACTAAGATAATGAAAGTGTACCTCAGTACCATCGTTGGGTGGCAGCATTTGATCTGTTTGGGTTTTTGTTGTTGAAAAGAATAAAAATATTGTTGCACGTCACCCCAATCTCTGAGTGGTGGGAGATTCCAGGTGCTTACCCAGGGTTCGTGTTTCCCTTGGAATGAGGCATAGTGAAGACTGTGGTGTCTTTAGGATATATGGTTTGTTCACACATATCTACTATGTATCCTGAGCCTGTGATGGAGGGGTTCACAGCATTAACACCCAAAGAGGGCCCTGGACTTGAACAGAAATCAGAGCAGTCTCTCTCGGTTCCCAGTTTGCTGCTCACTCCAAACTCTAAACTCTGGCTTTTTCCTTCTAACTATCCACGAGTTGGGGGCCTCTCCACCTATTTGCTGTCTCACGCAGATCCCCTTTCCTTTGTTCCTCTTAATGGCCCATCACCCAGGTGATCGCTTCACCGGGAAGCTAGCCTGCCTTATATTTTAACACTTCCTGGATCCAGGGATTAGAAGAATTCAGGGGTTAGAAGGATCTCCTCCTAACCCCTGAATTCCTACATCCCCTCCCCCAAACTCATAACATGATATATCATACTTAAAAAAAAAAGATATACAGAATCCAAGGCCCGCCAAGTTATTTTGGCGCCTGAGGTCGAAAAACTTGTAAGTGCTTCTGTCCTGGGCCTTACCTGGCAGTAAAAACACAACAAGAAATTAAATAACTAATAATATACTGTCCTTTCATTTGCTAGAATTGCAGCCGTATTATCACACTTTTAAAATATGATGTTAGCATTGTTTCCTCTGCCCTACCATTATAGCTTCCCAGTCTTCTCTATATTTGTTCACCCCTGCCCCCCCCCGCTTTTCTTTCTCTAAGATGTACCTGTCATTATCCTTCATGGACCAGCAGTTTTGTGACAGCCTGGAGAAAATGAGACTGCTGGCATCAGCTAAAAGCCGAGGAAGCCCCAGGGTCTATTTAAGCAGAAACTTCTGGGGCGAACAGGAAATGAATTGGAAAGATCAAGAATGACACAATTGGGGGAAGAGGAGACAGCGGAGACTGAGGTAGAATGAGGTAAGGCAACCTTGGATCCAGCTCTCACACAACAGAGGAGAAGAGAAACCTGATAGAATCAGGCCATATTATTTACCCCATAGGGTAAATGTCGGTGATAGATAGCAAGCACTGGCCTCTGAACCCTGGTTGCTATTTCTCAACTGCAAATGGCAATGTGAGGGATCTTTTGTTGCTCAGGGGAGAAGCAGTGTGTTTATGGGGATGCTCTACCCCTTCTGTATTTACTGCTTTCCCAGCTGCTTTCCTCCACCTGGCATAGAGGATACGCAACCAGGAGGAAGAGGGCTTTCAGGAGGAAGAGTGGTAGGCAGGGTGCATCTTAAGCCTGCCCTGCTTCTCCCCTGCAAGACACCTCTGCAACTTTGCAGAGGATAATATTGGCCAGTGTGGTGGGACCAGTAGCAGTTGGTGGACTCTGGACTTGGAGGGGTTGCTTGGCAGTCCCAGACGTTGTGTGAGCAAGGCCAAATTGCTCTGGTTTTCTCCCCATCCTCCTCCCTGGCAAAGAGCTGTGGACACGTAAGCAGTGCTGCTCTAGCAAACCTGTGATATAATAAAGGAACATCACAATGTGAGCAATTTGTTGTTATCGCGGCTATTATGGCGTGCCTCTAAACAAATGTCACTTCATTTAGATTTATCTTCTCTGTCAGAGCATTCTGGAAGCAATCCTATCCCATGTACACTTGGCCATGTGGTGGCTCACTATGTGACCTTGGTCCAGGCACTGCCTCTCAGCAAAATTGCTATGAAGAAAACGTGTCACCTTGAGCTTCTTGGATAAAAGGTGGGATATAATCAATCAATACATTGTTTTCTATTAATCATAATCATGTACACAGAGCCCTGCTGGGACAGCCTGGCATTCTGTTCCTGACCAGATGCCTATGTAAACTACAATAGCAGAACTGAGCAATGTTCTGCAGCAAGAGAGCAACCGTGCAACATAATCCTATGGATGTTAAGTCCTTTTGTATTAGATGGCACTTACTCCTATGTTAAGTGTATGAAGAAATCAGATTTTTCCAGTATCCTTTTTACATCTTGCTCCAAGACAGATGATGACAAAGAAAAATAGCCAAACAAGCCAGGATGTCTTAGGATTCCCGTAGAAAGTTCTCTCACATGCGTGGTACCTGAGAACTCACAACTAAGTTACTTAGATATAACACCAGAGATATCTGAAATCTCACATATCAATTTAACATGGAATTCATGCAGCTTTTAAGCAAAATCCATTCACTACATCGCACATGTGTGAATACATTTCTAGTTGGAGAAATGCAGAGTGAGAACATTAATCCCCCCAATATGATGGGGGACTTTGTGAATCTGTCCAGAGTTTCATAGGATTGTGGAGTTGGAAGATGGCTGAAGTCTCTCACATCAAGTTAACACGGCATTTGAGTGGCTTTTAAGCAAGATGCACACCACATATTCACAAAGTCCCCCGCCGTATTAAAAAATGATTAAAGCAAATCACAGTCGCAGCAACAGAGTGGCTCTTAAAACTCACACATACTTTAGATGACAAAGGCTAGAGGTTAAAGGACTCTCTTTCCTTGGATGGTTTAAGCAGAGATTGGATGGCAATATGTCATGAATGCTTTTGATGAGATTCCTGTATTACTGGGTCCCTGCCAACTCTTCCATTCTATGAAGATGTCCCAGCCCCTCCTGGCTCTTGGGTTGGGGCTCTGGTAGGACACCCAGTGGTGGTGGGGGATGATGCCCCTCAATATTGGGGGACCTGGCCCTCCGATTCAAAATATTGAGGGGGCTGGAGCCCCCAGCACTCCCTATACCTGGTGCCAGTGCCTCTGACCCAGCCCACTGCAGGGATGTGGCCCCTGCAGGGTTGCCTAGAAGAGAATGTGGCCCTCAGTCAGCATAATGGTGTCAGATCTCTTCCCCAACTTGAACCAACAATCCTTTGTGCACAAGGAACAACTGGTATGCAGGAGGCAAGGGCAAGGGCAGGGTGTGTGTTTTCAGGTTCCCTAGTTGATTCTATACAGTTTAATGTAGCTGAAAAAGACTGCTGTGTTGTGATTATAAGGGGTGATGGCTAGTGCTAGAGGGCTGGGTTGTTACACAGGCATACACCTCTCTGTGTGTTTGCATGGTAATGGTGCTGTCATTTATGCATCTTCATTGTGTAGTCGTCAGTTGCATCTGTTGGTGTGTTTGTGCTGGGCTGACTGTCATCTCTGAGTT